GAGGTTGGTGGAGCTGTAGATCACTATTACTCTATATTTAATCTTGACCTTGAAGGCCTTATTGATGTATATATCTCTATTTTGTCAGGTTCCAGATTTGTAGACATGTGTTGTCCATTTTTTTTTTTATGATGATTTCAACTCTCGTGCCAGTTCTGTACCTTATTTCTTTTATTGTTCACACTGCATATTCGTCCTTCTCTTTTGTCCATTTATAGTGATGTAATAACCATGTTTCTGTAATTCCTATTATATTATATTGTTCCTCTTTCACATATGTTGTAAGTGAAATTTGTTTATTCTCTTTGTTTATTCCTCTAACATTTATCATACCAATCTTCCAGTTGTTGATTGTATTGTTGGTTATGTATGAAGTGTTTATTAGATTAGTTTGTTCTGTTTGATATTTTGGTGTTAAGTTAAATATATTATCACTTGTTCTATCTATTCCTATTGAAATTATTCTATTTGTTTGTTCTATTATTTTATTGTGATAAGTGGGGACCTAGTAAACTTGCTGGTTGTGATAGTTTGAATAGGTTAATTGCTTCCTCCAGCGTGAAACTTATTTTGTTAAGTTGTTTTTGGTATACTTCTTGTGATACCCTGATATCTTGAATACTACTGTTTAAGGTTGTTTCTAATATGATCTCGTCTGTTACTGGTGTCTCTTCTAATTCTTTCATGAGTTCGTTAATGCTTTCTGAATATCTGTTGGCACATTCCTATTCTAAGACATCTACTCTTTTATCTAAATCTTTGAGAAAGACTTTAATCTCTTGGATTTTCCTTGCAAAGAGAGGAGTAGTTCATATAGATCTCCTCCTGTCAGGTGGTTTCTTGTGTTGTTTCTGAATTTGACGATATTTGCATAACTTCTGGAATTATTGATATAATTAAGTTCCTTGTGTCTATAGTTTGGTGGGATGCTGGATCTGTTTCCTGCTAAGATTCTTGGGTTATTGGAGTGATTATTGTATTGTCTTGATAATGAGACTTCTGATTTTTCTAGACACAGGAGAAGATTATGTTCTGATAAGCTGCATATGGGACACAGTCTGATTTCATGGTTGATCCATTGTGTCTGTGCTTCTCCAATCATAGGTGCTATTGTCTTTGCTGTGAGAAGATCTCCCTGTGTTTTGTATGTAAGGTGGCGAGTCTTTTGGCCTGATTGTTATTGCTACAAGGGATGTAGTCTGATTTTGCTTTTGTACTGGTGATAATTACAACCAGGTCAGATGCTGTAGTATTGGGGAATAGTTGTATGAGTGCTGCATTGAAGCACTCTCTTTCCTATTTGGTTTTGTGTGTTCTATAAAAGAGAAATATTTTGTATGAGTGGTAACCACATCTGATTGATCATTCCTGACTAATTTCTATATAGTCTGATGTATTTATAAAGGTGATATTGGCTGATTGGAATGGGCCTACTCTTTGTATAGTAATGTAATCGATGCTGATTTGACTGGCAAAGAACTTTGCTAAATTTATTTTGGTAAAATGTTGTGGAATATCCCATACTCTTATAGTTCAGAACTTGCTCTTGTGTGAACCTGAATGGATGATCCTTCTAAGTTTGGCTATTTCATTGTCAGTGATATTGATCTCATATGCCTTGTGAAGATCTTCTTGATTATCGAAAATGGCTGTGATCTTAGGGTAACTGGTTGGATATTCAATGTGCACATATTTCAAGAAGTGTAGCTCCACCATTTTTTGTTTAATAAAATTGATTTTTTCCTTATGTAATTGTCCTGGAACTAGGTCTGGGTCGATAAGGACTTTTCTGGATCTCTTATCCTGTGAGTATGTTTTGTCTCTAGTTGGTCCTTAATTCTCTTGACTCTCCTTTTCATAACTGAAAGCTATCTGTTCAGTAATATTGGAAGAGAAGTTCTGGATTAATTGTATAGAAGAGTTGAGGTTGCTGATAGTAGTGATGGTAATAGGAGTCGATGGTCTTGTTTGCTCCATTGTTTTTGCTATCTCAGTTGTTTGGGTTGGAGCCTCAGTTTCTATTTCACAGTCTGGTTCAATAGCTACTGCCTTCTCCTTTTCTTTTTCCACTACTCTTATTGATGTCTTCATCTGGGTCATAGATCTTGTATCAAGCAGGGTGTGTCTGAACTGAACAGTGGGGATTATTACCTTAGGTTTCATTCTTCTATTGTTCCTTGTCATTTTGTTTTCATTGTAGTCCAGTGTTATTTGCTTTTTAGTGCTTTTAGTTTCTCCTAAGGTGTTCATATTTTTCTCACAGTAGCTACTTAGTAGTAGGGGACGAGTTAGTTTTTGTATAATTGCCTATTAAGAAAATTTTTAGCAGTTTGAAATTTTTCAGGAAAGAGTTTTTGTTAATTTCTATCAACTTATTCTACTTTTGAGTAAATTATAATTGCTTATATACTGTACTTATAAGAATAGATTATATAAATCACTTGAGCCTTCTAGATCTTCTGAGTTGCTTAATTTATAGTAAATTATATTATATACTATGTTAGATAAAATAATATATACTAATTAAGTATCAATAAAAATATTAAAGAAGATTAAAGAAATAATTATAAATAAATAGATAAAAATAAATATAGAATAAAGATTGTAATTAAAATAACTATTCAATAATATTAAAGACTATATTTAGTAAAATATATAAAATTATTATATATTGTATATAATAATAGATCCCTAAAGTATTTAGCATATAAAATTTTGCAGATTACTTATGTTCCTTTTTGAGAAATAAAATTCATATAATAGGGACAAAAGTCAGGAAATGTTATAAATTAATGATTTTGATAATAGAAAACAATTGTGGATAGTTTTTTTATAGTTATTAATTTAAAAATTTTAATTTTTCCTAGTGAGAGACATTTGACTTTTGTCCCTATCCCTTTCTTTAGAAATATATCTTTAATTGTATATAATATTATTTTATAATAAATAAAAATCATGGAGTAGAAAACTTGTGGATTAATAATACAGTGGTAATACTTTTAGATTACAATTACAAGATTTGTAATTCAATATTATTTAAGAATCAAAAATTGAAATATCATTCTGATTGGATTTACTAATTATATTGTAAAAGTCATATTCAAATTATTTGAATTATATTTTAATTTAGGTTAAGTTATACAAAGATTAAACTTCTGGCCTTCTATTGATCAAAGGCTAAGATTTATAGTTACTGTATATTATTAAAAGAATTGTATGAAGAAAAACTTCTAATTTAATTTCTCATAGATATTTCAATAAAATTTTTCAACCTTAGTAGATTTCAGGACCCTCACTCTTCTAGTTTAGAATATTCCGATTTAATGCTTTGCTTAAATAAAAATTGACTAATTGGAACTGATTCAATACTCTAGATAGTAATAAAGAAGGTATACACTCCTTTTAAAATTTGAACAAATAATATCTAGAAAATATTAAATATTGTAATTTTATATATTAGATATCTATAAAAATATGATTAATTTGGTGAAATATAAAAAAAATAATATAAAACTCAATATTAACTAGCTTAGACTTGTCATTAATAATTGTATATTAATCAACTAATTCCTAGGTATAATAGGTCTATCTATTTTTATAGTTTCAATAGATCTATCTAGTACAAACCATACTAGGTTATTATTAATCTGCATATATATACTTATAGTATATAAGATAATTGATATAATGCTATTGTTAAGCTTAAGATTTAATAAACCTACTCACATCTAATATCAATTGTAATTTAAAAAAAAATCACAGAATAGATAAAACAACATTTTTTTTAAAGTAAAACTATTCTAAAAGTTTAATAACTTATAATTCTATATCAATTCTATATATTATCTGGATCAGTATTTTTCTTTCACTATATATAAATTTAGTCATTAATTTTTTTTTTTTTTGTGAGATTTTTTGAAATACAAGTATTTTACTAAAATATATTTGTTTAACATAATTTCATATTACTCCTATTTTCTCTATTTTTCATTTCTAAGTGAATAAAACACTAGTAACACTTCACATATACTAGCCTTTTAAAATTGTATTAATAGATAAACAATAGAAATAGTGAAGACTATCAATATGCTTTTATAGATAATTCAAATTAATTAGGAAAATTGCTTCACTAAATTAATGTAACTCTTTATATTATCTCAATAAAGTTGTCTCGACTGTTTTTATTAAAAAAAAAATAATTTAATAAAATAAAAAAGAATTTTTAATTTTATATATAATTTTTAAAAAAAAATTTTTTTATAAAATATTTGAAAAATTTTTTTCTTAACTCAATTTTATAATAAAAATATTTAATAAATTTTCATATTCTCGTTTCTATAAATCAATCACTAGGCAGTAAATTATTTTACATATAGTAGGTATTCTAAAACTAAAACTATAATGCATTGTCGATCTATAATAGGTTTATTATATATACTACATATATATATATATATTTGGACATTCTTCGCCGGATAACAATCGTGGACAAAAATTAAATAAAAATAACAAATCAAGTGAGATTATGGCTTTTTACTATATTGCTGGGCTATTATCAAGTTATTTGACACGTCCTGGCGAAAAGCGAAACAATGATGAAAAAAATGGTGATGCTGATGAATTGTTTTAGTCACAAATTTACTGAAAAATCCTACAAAATATATATAACCGAAGATGATAAGTTATCAAAATGTCTTTGATTAGACGGATAGTTAATATAATAAAAATAGGTATGTTACATAAAAAAAAAAAAAGAGGGTGTTTCATTATGAAGGAATATAAATTCGCGGTAGAACAGATAAAACAAAAGAAGTAAATTTCGGTGGTAAATAAGAAAGACATATATACTACAAAGAAAACAAAACTCTTAAACCATAATGAAATCCATGAATTTTTTCTTGGACCAATTTCAAATTTTCACCGCTCTTGCCAATTTGCCTCGCCCTAAGTCTACGCTCAATTGTATCAGACGAAAATCCAATGTTCGAATGAGAATTAATCTACATATATTCAAGATCCGATCCGATGTTACTACCACCTGGACTTGCGCAATAGAATGCACCATCCATCTCTTCGTCGGAAAAGTGAGCCATCGGTGAACCTGGCGACGGACTAGGTGGCAAAGGAGTGTTTATAGCCGCGGTAAAGGAATTAAAGGAGTTAGGAGACAGAGGAGCACTTGACAATATGGTATTATCTAAAAAAGTACTCCCAGAGGGGAGTTGAATGTTCATGACACGATTTGGACTTTGACCATGTGAACCAGCTTGACTGGGCGAGCTGGCTACACTTGTGTCTACTGTCAACGGTGTCGATGGACGTGACGGAATATTGTTGTGAGACATATTAATCAGGTAATTTACATTATTATTTTCCGCCGAGGTGACGTATATCGGCGGACGTTCGGGTTCTGGTTTACTTTCAAAATTATCCAAATTCAATTCAAATGGAACTAAGAATAATTGAGCGTGTGTAATTAAAATTTGGTTTAAAAAAAGATCCTTTTCATAATCCATATTGCTAAACCTACGTGATGAGGAGTATCCTTGTTGTGATATGTATTCAAACATCTTTTTCATCCAAACATTTTGGATTGTCTGCTTTTTCTTCGTCTCGGTTAAATCTCTCATTACTTCCGCAAAGTTTTCTTGTAATTGTCTAATTTGTTGTAGCAATTCATTTTGCGCAACCTGCATCATTGCAATATGAGCATGTAGATCGCCCGTCTCTCGCCTCAAAGTCTCTGACTCCATGGCTTTACGTTTGATATCGTCTAACAAATCAGGACGTCCACGTAAAAACTTTGCATGAGAGAATTCCCATATTTGATTTTCAGCCAGAGTACGATGGCCACGAGGTGACTTATTGACTTTATGGAAACCATACCTGGAAGGATCATTGGGTAAACTTTCATTCATTTTAAGGATATCAAAAAAAATATATATATAAGCTTACATGTTTAATTGACGCACGAAGCTTGAAAAATTGTTGTGCTTAAAATGTTTCGGCAGCACGTCGCGAGAAAATTCCATAATATTACACACTATGAAAGATGACCCGGTATAATTCCAGGCGATAAGGTGTTGATATTGCTTGTCGACAACCATGCTTTTAACCCAAATTTATGTACATTGATAATTAGTGAATAATTTGGAAATTTAATGAACATCATTTTGCAATCGCTGTAAGTTCTCTGAATTAAAACCCCCGACACCTACTTGTAAAGCTTATGAACAAAGGTGTTGGTACTCATCTTCGCAGGTTGTGAAGACGGGGGTTGTAAAGACATTAGCTGAGAATAGAATGGCGATTGAGGCGTAGTGGGCGTGGTAGGTGAAGACTGAGAGGAAGAAGAGTACTGTAGTGTGCTGCTCATCAGTGGACCCGTTACGTCACAATCGATCAACTCAAGTACTGTAAGAAAGTCTCCAAGGGAAAAAAAGAATTCATAAAGTTTTTCTCAATCTCAAATATAAATTTATCGACTGCGGGAGCACTTGGGTTTACTACAGACCGGTCTTATCCATTTAGAGGATTGGTGAAACACAAATATCTTTGATTTTGAAACACCACTCGGAGAACGAGGTCCATTTGCATTGCATTCACGCCTACATATATCACATGACGAGAAACTTGTAAATTTTGTTTTCAAGATTCTAGAAAGATATAGTAATACAAAGAAATAAATTTATACATTCGATACCAAAAATAATTACTGATAATCAGTTTTAAATGTATATACTGTATATAGATTTATGTTACTAAAAAAATAAAAATAAAATATTCAAGTAAAATAATTTTTTAAAACAAAAATTTTAAATAATTTTTATATAGAATAAATTAATTATAATCTATTCTAATCAAGCAAATCTCTTTTGAAAAAAAATTGTTAAATAGATTAAGAATTTTTTTGAAAGAATTTTGAATAATTTTAATAATTAAAAATCAAATATCAAATTATTAATTAAAACTTAGTTTTATTTAATTTAAATTAATTGATAAAATTTTTATATTTTTTAAGTAATATAATTCTTTAACTAATAATATACAATATAAAAATAAATTAATTATTATAAATTAAATTAATTAATTAATTATTTTTTTTTTTAAACTATAGTCAGATCAATATAGCTTATTTTTATTATATAAATACATAATATTTATAAATTATTTAACTTTTACATATTGATTTACTTGTTATCAAAAAATTATTTCTCTAGATACAACTTAAGGAATGATATTTTGCCCCTTTACTAATTTGAAATACTTCTTAATTAGTAAAATTATTGTTTATAAGTTATTATTATAGATTATTATTACTTTTTTTACTAATTCTCTATCTATATACAAAAAAAATATTCATAAAAAGTTTCAATACTTCTATGTTAATAAAGTCTTATAACTTTTCTTAAATCAATTTAAAAAGCTTTTTTAAGACTTTTCTATTTCTTTTTTATTTTATTTATAATCTTTTTTGAATAAACTGAATTTTTTTAATCTATAAAATTTAGTTTTTATCTTTATTATTAATAATAAGAAAGTTCTTAAAGGGAGAAAAACCATCAATAAAATATCTATTATTACTCTTTTAAAGTAAAGAAACAAAATATGATAGAGATTTTGTATTAGTCAAAAAACTTATTTTTCTTTTTTTTTGACTAGGTATATAGTCTTTAAAGAGTCTCCATTTTATGACTTTCTGAAAAATTTTACCTATTTTAGTTTGATTCTAAAATCTTGAGTGGTACAAATTCTACTGATCTTGATTAATTAATATGAAATACATTGAATAAGAATAATAAACAAGCTTTTATTGGTCACTTTATATATCAAAATATATTTTTTCAACTTTATAAGAATCTGGGATCTATAATAAGTCATATGACCAATTAGTTTTTTTTTTTTTTTGAGTACCCGTAGCCAGGCTAGATCGTCAGTTTATTAATCAAATAAAGA